AATGTCATATTTTGTGTCCAAACCCATGCCTGTGAATGCTTTGAACGATGTTTTGGGTCGTTGTCCTGCTAGAAAATCAAAAAATTTCCATAGAACACGTGAGCAGATGGAAGTAAATGTCCTTCGAGAATATCTGTGTACCGCTCACTGTTCATATTCCCTTCAAATACACAGAGGGACGTTGCCCCTAACACAGATATGCCACCCCACACGTTAAATTTCAGACTGTACTTTGGGCGCTGATACAAAGGTTTTTCTGTTTGTTTGGTCCACAATTTCAGTGTATTAGGAAACAGCCACACAGAACTTTCATCTGAGAAAATCACATTGTCCCAGTTAAAATTATTATGCTCTAAGCACCAGTTCAACCTTCGCTCCTTTTGTTCAGGTTTCATGAACGGTGATGGAATTCCTCGACTTTTCTGCCAACCCATTGCATGCAGCTTAGTTCTAATTGTCTCCTTACAGACAGCCACAGTTCCTCTATCAATCATATCCAGCCTTAAGTTTTCTACACTCCTTCATCTGTTTTTAAAAAAAGAATACCAAGCCGCCTCCTGTCAACGACAGTCAATTTTCTGGGCCTACCTGCGCCTCCCTGGTGCTCAAAGCCATATCCATTTGCAATATTTTTCAAAACACAATAAACAGTGGACAAAGGGATGCCTGTTCTACTTGAAATCACTTTAGCTGATCTGATGTCCTTGTTATATAATACTCTAAAATCAACTTCCTCTTCTCTAAATCATCCATACTGAGTATCACTGAAAATGTCGTCTGCTAGCAAGTAAACAAAGGGGGATAACTCTTCACAAAGTAATGAAAAAGGATTAACGGAGTTGTCTCTCTTGAATGAAACCAAGCACTTGATAGCTGGTCAAGGTTGTTTATACTAGAAATCCAATTAAACATATTCCTAAAATTCTCAATAATTTCTGGTCATACTATAGTATGTGTCTATATCACTTTAGGCTTTTCTCCATCAAGACGACAGTGACATACTGTCACAAGTCCCTCTCACTCACTCACTCACTCTTTCATTCACTCAAATAAGGGTTTCCTTCAATATGGTTTCAATCAATCCAATCCATCGGTGACTCCACCTCCACATCTCCTAATGACAGTACTACTAAAAGCATCCCCATCTTGCAGTGACAGAAGATACAGACTGTATAGTACTGTATGTAATTGTACGGCAGAAAGTTGTCTAGCTGGCTGATCTAGAAGTCCTGGGCTATTATCAAACAATAATTGAACTCAGTAGCTGTGGGAGGAACATAACCATCTTCTTACTTTTTCGTTAATTGTGTGGCTCTGCTGTCATCAATAACGGTCCGTTGCGGAACAATTTGTCTCCAGACTGCTTCTAACACTGAGGTGACAGTAGATGGGTTTAAAGTGGGTTAATACATTAACCCCTTTTTCGCGATTTGACAGTCTTGTCTACGAAGAAATCATGGCCACTATTCAGTAAGACAAACTGATTTATTGCTGCTGCCTGAGACTGACATTAAACCCCAGAAATAAAGTTAATTAAAAATAATCTACAAAATAAATCCAATTGGAGCAGAGAACAATCCTAAATTTCTAAAACTGAGGCAATACAGACTTGCCAAATCATTGTAGACTTGAATAGCACTCCTATTTATTTCATTGTCTTGGGTCTGTTTGTTTGTTGTTTAATGCCACATTCAGCAATACGCCAGCTCTATTGTGGGATCTGTAAATATTGTTTAACGCCACATTCAGCAATACGCCAGCTCTAAATAATAGAGTCTGTAAATAATAGAGTCTTGACCCAGTCTCAGTAAACTTAGGCTCAGTATTATTCGTTACACTGCTATACTGAGTCTAACAAACCCTAGTAGAAGGTCGCGTCAGCTAACCTTTTGAATTGACCAATCAGAACAAAGCTTAGCAAATCGTGAAAGTTAACATTCGCACATACCGTTTGAATTTTTACCTCGAAAACGTTTGAACTCAAATGATTCCGAATGCTATTTTCCACACGATCGCTTCTGAGTGATACACCTGTGGGATGCCATTATTCACAACAGTGAGCAAACAGTCGCTGAAAGTAGCGTTTTTGTCAATATCTTAGGATGTCATCTTGCGGAAATGTGAGCTAATAGTATTGTCATAAAAAAAACCTAAGCGTATATAATGCAGGTCAAATATCTGTGTTTGTTGCCATTTTGTCCCGCTGAACCCTGAAATAGTAGCCGTTGTATGATTGGTTAAATCCATTCAGCCGTCACGCATTGGATTGGATGGTCATAGGTCGCTCAAAGGTTAGCTGATGCGACCTTCAACTAGGGTTTGTTAAACTCAGTATAGCAGTGCAACAAATAATACTGGGTCTTTAGTTGTACGCCACACTCAGCAATATTCCAGCTATATGGAGACGGTCTGTTAATAATCAAGTCTGGACCAGACAATCCAGTTATCAACAGCATGAGCATCAATCTACGTAACTAGGATTACGATGACATGTGTCAACCTTAGTCAGCGAGCCTGACCACCGATCCCGTTAGTCGCATGGGTTACTGAAGATCAATTCTAACCTGGATCTTCACAGGTACTTTTAGAAATGAACAACAATGGAGATAATTACTCCATCTGCTGTAATATTACTTATATACCATATACCATAGTTTAATATAAGTGGCATTGGAATGTCTGGATTTACCACTGTTCCAGACAACATTGTGTTGGGTACGCTACATAAATATTTCATGCATTCTTCCTATACATTTGATGGTTTACCTTGCTTGATACAGGTCATAAATCATAATAATAATAAATCATAATCGTGTTCTTATTTGCTTTATCATATGGTGTTGAAATATGAATATTCATTCCATAAAAATATTGTAATATCCATGTATATTGTGATTCTAATACATTGTGATTTACATTTTGTAGAGCTGAAAGATTTGATGCTTTAGGAAATGACATCAAAGCTCTTTTAGAAAACAAATTGTCTATATATTATTATGAAATTACACTGGCATTGATTATGGGCTGTAGATTCACAAAATGAAAACTTTTGAAATATTTGTAAAACTTGTTTATCATTCCTAAATAACAGTAATGTTGAAATTCTCACATTACAATTGACTAGATCTGGCCTGAATGGGCATACAGTTTAAGAGAATTTGAATTTAAAGAATGTATTCTTACATCCCATATGAACCATTTAATTTTTTCAGTGTTAATGTCAAGTCAATATTTAATATGCATTATATGAAAACACATATGTAATTTATTTGAGGTAATATATTATGATGAACTAACTCTCGGGCAAAATGTCAGAAAATATTCAGTGTGCATTGATCGGAGAGTCACGATGTGGGTAATTCTTGGGGCCCGCTGACCATTGTAAGCTGATTACAATGCATGAGTGGGAGGAGTGAGTGAGTGAATTGAGTTGAGTTGAGTTGAGTTGATTTTAATGCCGCACTCAGCAATATTCCAGCTATATAGCGGTCTGTAAATAATTTGTAATGCTTAACAGATGTATGTTCTGTTTAACTAAAGACCCCATAGTGAGTGCGTGAGTGAGTGATCATCAATGTCTCTAAATAGCATTACTTTGGCCTTTCTTCATACGAAGTAAACACATAAATCAAATATTGTTCAAAGTTTGGTAAAATTAATCAGTCCTTTTCCACAAATGAACCATTACCCATTTCAAGTTCCTATAATCCTGAATTTGAAACCACTGGTTTTGTAATGATCAGGAGGAGAAGGTGGGAGATGAAACTGATGATAATCATCCTCATTATTATTGCCATCATCATCATCATCATCATCATCATCATCATCATCATCATCATCATCATCATCATCATCATCATCATCATCATCATCATCATCGTTGTCATCATCATCATCATCATCATCATCATCATCATCATGATTCAATATAATAGTAAACGTGACTTTACCCTGTTATCCCTGACACGCCAATATACAAGATGATAAAACCACTACCTGAAGCAGAGTGAGATCAAGTGTTCCCCCATTACCTTTCAATAACAAAACAATCTTGGGCTCAGATATACATCAGAGCTATTTATCATGTGGGGTCAAATAACTATGAATCAATCTGAACTATTAACACAAGGTCCAAGGAAGTGGGGCTATTTCAAGTACTGCCACAAATCTTGGGATCAAACACTTGACCACAGTGTCAGCGATATATTTCAGATTTATTTCACCAGGAAGTTATGATCTCTACGCATGTCAGAATGTTACAGAATTAAACACAGACAATAAAACCAGCAGGAAAAGGAATTTAGTTGAAAATAACCACTGTGAAATTTTCTAAAATTAAATGCCCTGCATAAATAGTTTTTTGCGTCAAGGAAGACATATTTCATTGTGACCGGTCACATTAACACACAAACATGATGTGGCCATAATTACTATTAGAGTTATTTTAGTGCTATTTCCTTGACACACACTAGTTAGATATTCAAATGTTTGGCTAGTGACATTTATGGTAATAATTTGATATGATAAGCACATAAATATTTGATTAATATCAAAGTTGCATTTCTCGAAATAACTTGAAAAGCCATACTTAGCAGTAGCATTTTATCAATTTTTAATCATATTATCAAACCAGAATTACTTTCTATTTTGTTTTCATGACATATGTGATAAGTTGAAATACATTTATCATTAAAATTAAGAAAATATAATCTTTAAGTCAAATATTTGATTTTAGCTCAAACTCATATAAAAAATTTGATTCTGTCATTTTGGATAAAAAGAAAAGAAACATATCCAATATAACCTGAAATGTAAACTCCCATATCAGTGATAAAAAAGAATATTAAATGTATCATCATAAACTTCAAATAAAAATCATGTATCTGTGATAGTACACAAATATTAGTTAAATGATTGTAAACCTGAAAAGATCAAATTATGTATCTGTGATAATACAAACATCAGATAAACATCATAAACATGAAATAGAGCTCACATACCTGTGATCACCTGGCGCCAGATAGACCAAACATCGGAAACACTACAAACAGGATCCTACTGTACTTAAGCCCTCTATATTGATTCGGGTAGATCCCCCAACCACAAGTTGATCACGATCTTCACACAATGCCAGTCCTCTGGTTAAAACATTCACAGCCAAGAATCCGTGTTTTGTAAATTCCTGTGTCCGTTGTAGCGATGTATCTGTTCCCACCGACCTATTGGCATAATTACTGTGGAATTGTCCGCCTGACACTGTTTGAATATCAACAACACATGCTTCCACCTGAAGACTAGCCACAACTGCCGACCGTGGGCTGGTGCAGTGATGATAACCGCGTACGCTGTCAGAGTGATGAGCGTGTATGTCAACTCTCGATGTTAGCCTGCATTAAAGGAAGGACACACTTGCTAAGACCAGTGGAGGGTGCCTGTCAGCCTCATAAATTGCCAATCTGTTAGACTGAGTCACGGGTTTGGATATCTACACGAGGGGCAAATTAATTATTGTTAATCCCCTTGTTGGGGAAATAGCTCATAATCTTTTAATCTTCCTGGGGGGGTTGTTAGGAGATGTCACTCTACAAAGCAGCCCCAACTTAGGTTTAGTTATCAGGATCATGCTTATTTGGTAAATTTAATAATATAAAAACTAATTAATAAGATCCCTATATTTATGACAGGTTTTAACACTTTTGTTTTGTTTTTTTCTTATAAACAACTTATATATTTCCTAAACAATTCTTGAAATATAGTTTTGGTGATGTTAAATCGTGTTATTTCAGATGTGCATGGCTCACATATATCAATTTTAATATTTTTAAATCTATTTGTGAAGTTTAAACATCACAGGACAATTTAAAACATAATTTAATGTACTTTTTTAGACATTTTTCTTCCTTTCACATAGAACGAGCTCTTGTATGGAGCTGTCTAAAGGACATATTTTGGACCAAACAGATTTAGTCATTTTGTTGGAGTGGGAGAAATGAAAAATGCATGAAAAATAGAAAATGTACTGCATTCACCTAGCTTGAACATATACTTCTGGCTTACAGCTAAAGGTGACTTATTTTGTATAATGGTACATCAATATTTAACATGATCATGTTTATATGGATTCACTATCTGATATTTGTTTTACCCTGAGCAATGTCTATATAAACAATGTTTTGCTTGTTTACCTATCCAAATTTCATTTATGAAAACAAGAATATATTTAAACCAAATAGAAATCTAAAAAATATGTGATATGCTAACAGGTTTATTACTTTACAAAACCATTAAGATTACATATTTCCAATCAATACAGTATTTTTCTTTGCAAAACTGTTTAGCTACATTCATCGGACCTTAATGTTTGTTTGTTTGTTTATTTGTTTGTTGTTTAATGCCACTCAGCAATTTCCAGCTATGTGGAGGCGTGGCTTGCCAAGCATAAACTTTTTGCCCAAAATGAACTTAAGAAAAACCAACCGAGTTTTGATCAAATCACTATTACAAAGATGCAATCTGGGTAACATATGTTCTTAACAGAAAACATTCAGATAAGTGTAAGGAGTGTGAAAAACATAACCTTATATTCCAGTGAGTGAGTGAGTGAGGAGGAGTGGTGGGTGGGTGGGTGGGTGGGTGGGTGGGTGGGTGAGTGAGTGAGTGAGGAGGTGAGTGAGTGAGTGAGTGAGTGAGTGAGTGACTGAGTGGGTGGGTGGGTGGTGAGTTAGTGGAGTGGGTGGGTGGGTGGGTGGTGGTGGGTGAGTGGGTGAGTGGTGAGGTGGTGAGTGAGTGGTGGTGGAGTGAGTGAGTGAGTGGTGAGTGAGTGAGTGAGTGGTGAGTGAGTGAGTGAGTGAGTGAGGTTAGTGAGTGAGTGGGTGGGTGGGTGAGTGAGTGAGTGAGTGAGTGAGTGAGTGAGTGAGTGGTGAGTGAGTGAGTGAGTGAGTGAGTGGTAAGAGTGAGTGAGTGGGTGGGTGAGTGGTGTGGGAGTGTGGTGAGTGTGAGTGAGTGAGTGAGTGAGTGAGGTGGGTGGGTGGGTGAGTGGGTGAGTGAGTGGGAGGGTGGGTGGGTGGAGTGAGTGAGTGGTGAGTGAGTGGAGTGGGTGGGTGAGTGAGTGAGTGAGTGAGTGAGTGAGTAGGTGGGTGAGTGAATGGGTGAGTGTGGTGAGTGGGTGGTGGAGTGGGTGGGTGGGTGGGTGGGAGTGGGTGAGTGTGGTGGGGTGGGTGGGTGGGTGAGGTGGTGAGTGGAGTGGGTTGGTGGGTGAGTTAGTGAGTGAGTGGGTGAATGGGTGAGTGAGTGAGTGTGGTGAGTGAGGTGAGTGGGTGGGTGGGTGGGGGGTGGGTGGGTGGGTGGATGGGTGAGTGAGTGAGTGAGTGGGTGGGTGGGTGGGTGGGTGGGTGAGTGGGTGAGTGAGTGAGTGAGTGGGTTGGTGGGTGAGTTAGTGAGTGAGTGGGTGAATGGGTGAGTGAGTGAGTGTGGTGAGTGAGTGAGTGGGTGGGTGGAGTGGGTGGGTGAGTGGGAGTGAGTGAGTGAGTGAGTGAGTGGGTGGGTGGGGTGAGTAAGAGTGAGTGAGTGGGTGGGTGGGTGGGTGGGTGAGTGGGTGTGAGTGGGTGAGTGAGTGAGTGAGTGGGTTGGTGGGTGAGTTAGTGAGTGAGTGAGTGAATGGGTGAGTGAGTGAGTGTGGTGAGTGGAGTGAGTGAGTGGGTGGAGTGAGTGGGTGAGTGAGTGAGTGAGGTGAGTGGGTGGGTGGGTGGGTGAGTGAGTGAGTGAGTGAGTGAGTGGGTGACTGGGTGGGTTGGTGTGTGTTGGGTGAGTGAGTGAGTGAAGTAGGGAGGGAAGGAGGGAGGGAGCAAGCAAATGCATTAACAACTAGGCTACCCATCGCCCCGATGGTCTAGACCATGTATTGTGGAAGCTATGGTGTAATCCCAAATATTACATATATGACATTTGACCAATTTCTATGAGGCAGTGTAAAGTAATGATATAAGTGAGAATTTAGATCTGGTCTTCACTGATCACAAGTATCAGTAAACAAAAGAATCACCGTGTGCGAAATATGCATTATGTTAAAAGTGCACATAAATATCAATGCCCTTGATGTCAATCACTGGATTGTCCAGTCTGGACTCAATTATCTTCAGACCAATGTCACATAGCTTGAATATTGTTTAATTTGGCATTTAAAATACCTACAACAACTTAAACAATAAATACAACAAATATCATATAAATTTCACTATCACTATACCTGATCTTCCTCACTATGTCACGTAAGTGACTTTCTAAGAAATGTTGCTAAGAGACCAAAGGAAGCAAAAGTACCTTATCTTGCAGCACAGATCAACTTTGAGTTGAAACATCATGGTTTGACTGTTCAAATCACATCATCAGTGTATCCATGGTAATGACACTGTTCTGTAATTACTGTCACACAAGATGAACCATAACATGTGTGGATGAAATATATTTTTCAAAATGAGTTTTCAAAATAAGACACTGACAATGGTTAGACAAATACCATGTGGGATGTCTTCCTCCTTGTTGTTAACAATTAGTGATTTTCGTGTTTGCACATTTCCTGTCAAAATGGAATTATTGATATTTTTGGAAGCACGTGGGGATAAACAGTCATAGAAAGATTACTAACTACCTGCCAAGACATGCTTACTATAACAACTGTTAGTGGCACACCCATGCATAAAGGGCGGCGGGGTAGCCTAGTGGTTAAGGCTTTCGCTAGTCAAACCGAAGACCCAGGTTCGATTCCCCACATGGGTACAATGTGTGAAGCTCATTTCTTGTGCCCCTGCTGTGATATTGCTGGAATATTGCTAAAAGCGGTGTAAAACCATACTCACACACCCATGCATGAACCACTGTGTCAGTGATAAAAACATGCTTAAGCCATACTGGCAGTGCTGCAAACATCCCTAAACTACAAGCAAGACAGATATGTCTGAGGCAGGAATTATGAGACAATGGTTACACGAAAATGCATACTTTCAAAATTTACATAATCACACCTTCTGTTGTTCAGCCCAATATATTTAGGCCAGACCAATTTAATTTCTTGTTATACACATTTTTGTCCTAAAAAAAAATCACCAGTCAAAGCAAAAACCCAGTTTTCAATGTTAACTCTTTGGGTTTGTTTATATCAACTAAAAATAAGTTGAGTGAGGGTTCACGCTGATTTCAAGAGTATTTCACTTATATCATCATTGACATTAGGATTTTAGTTTTTGAGAGGGGAAAATCAATTTTTTTCTTCTTATTCCTGTAGCGTAGGTACAGGATGCCCGGGTTGATGCCATGGGTGACACTCCGCTAGTCAACAATGCCGTCCGCTTCATCGGCTACATCATGACCGCCTGGGTCGACGACGACACCAAGTTCCCCAATGCCTTGTGGAATCACCACCGCAATCTTGGATCCCGAACAAACAACAATCTGGATGGGTTCCATTATGGAATGAACAAGACCCTGCCTCATGACCACCCCAACATCTTCAGGTCATGGAGCTAATCCAGAGGATCGAGAAGTCGGAGTCAGCAAAAATGGCACAGCTGGATATTGTACTCCCCAGGAAACAGGTGTATTGTGAATAGAACAGACTTGTCAGGCTCTGGGACCAACATCAAGTTGGCCAGAAAACGTTTCTGGACGCTGCTGAATATCTGTATCTGCCAGAGATCCAGGTAGTGAAACTGACTATGTTGTAAAGTAAAAAGAAAAAGTGAAGATTTTCCCTGAGGTAAAATCAGAAGTACTGAAGAAATGTTTTATATATTTATACTTGTATGAAAATAAATAAAATCTGCTGGTTAAAGATTCTGTTTTGTGGTCGTTTCATATGGGTCATTCCAATACCTACAGAGGTACTTTGGGTTCATATGTAAGAGCAATCAACCATGACATGTGTTTAGTAAAGGCACATAACTAATGGGTCGTTTGACTGATGGGGTGCCACCTAAGTAATTATACAGTCATCACTATGTTATATAAGTAATTATACAGTCATCACTATGTTACATAAGTAATTATACAGTCACCACTATGTTACATAAGTAATTATACAGTCATCACTATGTTACATAAGTAATTATACAGTCATCACTATGTTACATAAGTAATTATACAGTCACAACTTATTACATAAGTAATTATACAGTCATCACTATGTTACATAAGTAATTATACAGTCATCACTATGTTACATAAGTAATTATACAGTCATCACTATGTTACATAAGTAATTATACAGTCATCACTATGTTACATAAGTAATTATACAGTCATCACTATGTTACATAAGTAATTATACAGTCATCACTATGTTACATAAGTAATTATACA